TTGAGTTCTGTTGCTCCAAGTGTTCGGTACTGATTGACGTCTATTTTCTCTTTCCCAGCCGATGAATGCCTGATAATTGTCTCTACCTGATTTATTGTCTTATACTCTTACATGATCTTCTGAAAATGATCCAAATAATTGGCTAATAACATCGGATGGTTTCAAATATTCACGCGACCAACCTGTCGCTGCTTGTTCCAACTCTCCATCCTCTGTCCAATGAAGTGCTTCCAAGCAGGTTAGTAAGAAAATTTAAAAAAAGATAACAAAAAAATAAAAATAAAGAAATGCGAAAATAAAAAGAATGGAGGGAAATAAAAGGAAAAAATAAAACCGGAAAACAAAAAAAAAAATAAACAAAAAAATTCGTGAAAAAGTTTTTGTTGTTACATGTAACTTTGAATGTTAAAACAACTAAATTCGAATTTAGAGAAAAGAAGTGGAGCAATTTGATTGTTTTGTAGCCATCTTATACTTGCATATGTCATGCATCGTTTATAGTGCGATTGTCAAAAATGAAAAAAATTTTAAGAGAAATTTTGTTTTCAATGTCGCGAAAGTTGACCATAACTTGTTTAGGGACAAATTTGAATTCAGTTGTTTGCTTTCAATTTTTTGTTTTATTTGTTTTTTTGGTTTTATCGGTCTAGCTTTTATTGAATACTTTTTGTTGTAAGCTGTTTATTTTTCATCCAGATGATATGATGAATAGTTGTATTTTCATTGCTTTGATGACAACTGTTATAGCCCTTAGTTTTTGTTTTTCTAAAACCTTCAATAACTGTTGCTTATTGTTTATTATTTTTCAGTTCATTATTTTTGAATTTTATTGGACTGAGTCACGAGGTGGTATGAGTGTTGTGGTTATGCAGAATTATTTCGACCATCGATATGCATATGCATATATTTTTTCTTTTAAATTAAGCTAATATATGGAAAAATATGCAGCTTCTAAACACTTTTTAAAACATTTTAAGCTCTACAATAAATTTTTAACTTTTGATTTTCTTTCCTTTTTTGAAATATATTCCTGAAATTAATAGAGTTTTAGAATTCGTGAAAGTTCTTGATTACTTTTCAAGTTTTTCATTTTTTCCAAATGTTTGATCTCTGAATCCGTGCAATTTTTTAAATTACTATGAACTTCGAGTGTTCTTCCTGAATTTTTTGAATTTTCAAAATATTTCAAAATTTCTTCAGACTTTATAGCTCTAATCCTTCTTTCCCCTTTAAACTTTAATTTTTCCTTCATATACTTCAATTTGGAATTCTTGGCTTCTAATTTTTCTCGAATTCTGTGAAATTTGAATTCATCCCATTTTTTGAATTCAAGTAAATTTTCTGTATCTTCAGATCAACTTATTTGGGAAGTGTTTTGAATTCCAATTTATCACATTTTTTCGGCTCAAAAAATTACTCAAAAACAGTTAAATTGCAATTTTATCAATCGTATCCGATCGATAATAGGTATTGTCAGAAGATATTTATAGTGTGTAGTTAATTTTGTAATTTTTTCTTCATTATTTTATTGTTTTATTCTCCGAACTTTGCAATAATTTCAATATTTTTTATTATATACTAAAGATCCTTTATAAAATTCCGACATTTGCATATAAGTTCTTTGCAACATTTGAACAATTGTACGTAAGTAGATTGGAAAGTAGATTGGACGTAAGCAGATATAAATATATTGGAAGCAATTTACAACAATGGGCTTTCTTTGTCTGCAGCATTTGAACATTGCAATTAAGACTGGTTAAAAAATTGGAAGAGATGAATCT